AAAAAAAAAAAAAATGCAAGCAACAAAACAATATATGAAAAGATTCTTTGTTATGTGTTTTCCATACGTGTTTGTGTGTGCATGAAATAAAAATTGGTAAGATACAACACAATACAATATATATAAATATGATACAATGTTGTAACTAAAACTGTGCAGGCCAGACTTAATAACTCGTTTCTAACAAAAGGATAAAATGAAAATGGAGGTGTATGACTTATGAGTCTAGGTCATAAAAGGTATTGTGGCCTTATTTTTGCTTTGTCTCTTGCATCACTTGCAGTGGGAGAAGTCAGATGCTATGTTTTATGACCGTATCAGGCCTGGAATGGTGGCTCACACTTGTAATCCCGGCACTTTGGATGGCCAAAGGAGGCAGGAGTTCAAAACCAGCCTGGATAACATGGCAGAACCCTGTCTCTACAAAAAATACAATATTTAGCTGAGCATAGTGGCACATGTCTGTAATTCCAGTGGCTGAGGCAGGAGGACTGCTTGAGCCCAAGAGACAGGTGGCAGTGAGTCATGATTGCACCATACATTCTAGCCTGAGTGACAAAGTGAGACCCTGTCTGAAAAAACAAACAAAAAACCCCCACTTATGCAACTACCCTATGAAGAGGTCCACATGGCAAGAAACCAAGGTCTCCTACTAACAGCAATATGACTGAGCCACCTTAAAAGCAGATCCGGCCAGGCGCGGTGGCTTACACCTGTAATCCCAGCAGTTTGGGAGGCTGAGGCAGGTGGATCAGGAGGTCAAGAGATTGAGACCATCCTAATCAACATGGTGAAACTCCATCTCTACCAAAAATACAAAAATTAGCTGGACATGGTGCCACATGCCTGTAGTCCCAGCTACTTGAGAGGCTGAGGCAGGAGAATTGCTTGAACCTAGGAGATGAAGGTTGCAGTGAGCAGAAATGACGCCACTGCACTCCAGCCTGGTGACAGAGCAAGACTCTGTTGATTAAAAAAAAAAAAACAACGGGAGATCCTCCAAAGCTATTCAAGCTTTCAGATAACTGCAGCCCTGGCCAATGTCTGGACTATAACCTCATGAAATATCCCAAACCAGAACCATTCAGCTAAGCCACATTTAAGTTCCTGTTGCAAGGAAATCTTGAGGTAACAAGTCTGTTATTTTACATCATTAAGTTTTGCACGTAGATTGTAATGCAGCAATAGATAAATAATACAGATTCTAGTACCTCGAAATAGGGAGTTGCCAAAACAAAAACCTAAACTGGGAGAGTTGCTTTGGAACTAAATGATGGGTGGATGCTGAAAGAACTCTGAGAGTTTTAGTTAAGGAAGACTTGAAGAGCCTCAAAGAAATTGTAGGAAGATTAGTTGGCCATTGAGGAAATGGTGGGTGAGGGCTTAAAGGAGGAAAAATCTTAAATTCTTTATATAGTACCAAGAAGTTTAGCAACATTGCAATTGGCACAAAGGAACAAATTGCAAAAAGGAATAAATGTACCTAATCTATGGGGTGACCTAGCTAAGGAGACATCTAGACAAAATGTTGCTTTTTGCTATGACAGCAAAATGCAAAAGGAAAGACATTAAGGACAAACATAAAACAGTTCGAATTTGCTGATTTTGAAAACTCCCAGCCTCTCCTGATGGAAAACAATACTAAAAATGAAAAATTTTCCTTTTTTTTTTTTTTTGAGACTGAGTCTCGCTCTGTCACCCAGGCTGGAGTACAGTGGCCCGATCTCAACTCACTGAAACCTCTGCCTCCCAGATTCAAGTAATTCTCCTACCTCAGCCTCCCAAGTAGCTAGGATTACAGGCACCTGCCACCATGCCCCAGTAATTTTTGCATTTTAGTAGAGATGGGATTTCACCACGTTGGCGGGGCTGGTCCCCTGACCTCAGGCGATCTGCCCGCCTCGGCCTCCCAAAGTGCTAGGATTACAGATGTAAGCCACCGCAACTGGCCAAAATTAATTAATTAATTAATTAAATTTTCTAGGCAAAGATCAAACCCAGAGGACAGCCAGGAAAATATTATGAAGCTGAGGTTGTAGTTTAAATGCTTTAAGACCTCCTTAAAAATCAAAGGTTGTGCCTCAGAATACCATTCAGTCAAACAGTAAGGATTTTATCTTATTTATTTATTTATTTATTTAGAGACAGAGTCTCACTTTGTTGCCCAGGCTGGAGTGCAATGGCACGATCTCAGCTCACTGCAACCTCTGCCTCCTGGGTTCAAGCAATCCTTCTGCCTCAGCCTCCTGACTAGCTGGGAATACAGGCGCATGCCACCATGCCCAGCTAATTTTTATATTTTTAACAGAGACGGGGTTTCACCATGTTGGCCAGCCTGGTCTTGAACTCCTGACCTCAGGTGATCTGCCTGACTCAGCCCCTCACAGTGCTGGGATTACAGGCATGAGCCACTGTGCCAGGACCACTAAGGATTTTAATGAAGCTCCTCACAGATCCTCTCAAACAACAGGCCTTCTAAGAAGCTTTTTTTATTTTACTGATTATTTTAAGTCACTGAAGTTTTTGGGGGTACTTTGTTAAACAGCAATAGATAAGAAATACAAACCCACACAATAAATTTCTCCTCACATTCTGCTAGTAAAACATCTACCCAGACAGATAAACTTGAGTGATTTCCTTTTTGCAGATGAGCAATACATAAATCACCCAGTTTTTCTTTTTTCATTACCTTCTAAGGAAGCCAGACTTAAATGCAGGACTCGGCTATAGTAACCAACTCATTCCAGGAAGGTTTCTTTTGAAGTGCTTTCATGATGTTTTAATGAACAATGTTTTCCATATATAATATGGAAAATGAGCTTAAATGCTTTCTTTGAATTAAATAAAAAATAACTAAACATTTTCCAATAAATAATTTCCCTGATATGTGCTAATAATTATTTTGCCCATGATTTATAGTTAAGTACGATCCTAGAAAAAATGTTGTAGTGCAAATCTGACACAAAACCAGAAAAATGATCTCACTCATTAACATGGACTTCATATAGAGGTTTTCAAGCAAATATTGAACACTCACAAGGAACATACACTTTGTAAAATACATATATATGTCACGGCACAACCCCAGAATATATAGAACAGCCAGGTTTTGAAAATTAAACCTATTTCCAGAACTTCCTTCCAACATGCTTTCATCTTAAACAGAACATTCACGAACCATGTCCTCCATGCTAACGAGAATAACGTAAGGAAAAGATTTACAGAGGAAACTCTCCTTTTATCCTACAGCTACTTTTTATTCGGCTTTTAAAATAAGGAGTAAAATTCATAAATGGCTTGATATAATAATCTGTGGAGCTGTATTATACAGCAGGACTTCATATCAAACATCTATCACTATATCGTCTAGTTTTTCTGTAAGTGTAATGGTTAAATTAGAGAAATCCAGAGATTTCTCTGACTTTTTGTGGTCTGGTCTCAATCTTCTGAATACAGTTTTTATTTCTCAAACATTTTGCTACCTAAAACTCTTACTTCAGACTATCTCCCAAAATCATACTTTCCTTCTTTCTCCTTGCTTTCATCATTTTATAACGCCCAAATTATGTCTTTAGTATCTTCAACATACCAAAAGCATAAATATTCCCAAGGAACCAAAATGAAAACTTACACTATATATAAAATCTTGGTCAGATGCAGTGGCTCACGCCTGTAATCCCAGTACTTTGGGAGACTGAGACAGGCGGATTACTTGAGGTCAGGAGTTTGGGACCATCTTGGCCAACATGGTGAAACCCTGTCTCTACTAAAAATACAAAAATTAGCCACATGCAGTGATGGGTGCCTGTAATCCCAGCTACTTGAAAGGCTGAGGCAGGAAAATCACTTGAACTGGGGAGGTGGAGGTTGCAGTAAGCCAGCCGAGACTGCGCCACTGCACTCCAGCCTGGCCAACGAGAGCAAAACATTGCCTCAATAATAAAAAAAAAAAAAAAAAAAAAAGTCTTTCCAATCTAATCAAACTCAAAATTTCATCATCCTCTGAACCTTCTCAACAGCCACTCTCTGATTATTCATTTGGTAGTTATTTCCACATTTTACTGGCATCTTTTTAAATGCATATATCACATAATTATGTTTTACAACCAAGACCTAGGGAGAGATCTTATAGATCTTCATATATTTCATAATGTCTAGCAATAAAAACCTTTTCCATACCATGCATGCCATAGTATATGTAAATAAAATAAACCTAATATTAGTAAGATCAGCTTAAGAAAAATATAACAAACCAATTATCTAATTCAATATTTATATTGTACCATATATTAAAAAATTACATTTGGAAAAATTACCAAAGTATTTGTAGAGTAATTATTCTAGAAAGAGTTATAGACTTTATAAAGATAGAATCTTACCTTCAACAGAATGACAGGATTTATGCAGATACATCTGACCATTGCTTTTGGACTTTTCTAGAGAAAATTCTGAATAATCAAAAGTTGAATTCAATGCTTCTTTGAATCTTTGTAGATTTACTTTTTCCTTATTATAATCTGGTGTCTTAAGTATTTCCTTTCTTATATTAGAAAATGAGTTCAATGTGTTTGATTTAGAGAGTGGTGTACTCATAACTTTTTCTCCCACTGGTAAAGAAAACTGAGAATAACCAGGAGATAACAATTCTTCATTTTTTGCTGTACTCAGTGGAAAATTTACACGTTTTGGATTCTGTATATCTTCATTTGATGAGATAACAACAATTCCACTTGTAAAATTTTTGCTATGATCTCTTGGTATCAGTGGTGGATTCGAAACATAATTTGCATCACTTATCTCCTTAATTTCCAAGTACCTTCCAGATAGATCATCTAGAGGTCTATTGCTATCTGATACATGTTCCAATATTCCATCATCAGAATCTGGACTACAGAATCCTAAATCAAAGGTAACAGAAAATAAATCCCTAGAGCAATCAAAAATATCCACATCATTCTTCACTTTTTCTTTCTGTACACCTCTCAAATCATTATGAGATTCAAAATTATTAGCATCACAGGTGATTTGGTCTTGGGGTTCAGAATTATTGTCCAACAAAAGTTCATCAGAAATTAAGAACTGAGAGACCAGAGGCATTTCACTAATAGCAGTCTTGTCTGACTCATGTGAAGATTTGCTTTTAGTGTTCAAGGGTGAAAGACTCACATCATTAAAGTCTGTATTAACATCTTCAAATAATAGTAAACTTTCATCTTGGTCAGTGGACAATACTGGGAGGTCACTGTTACCAACATCGTGATTGTTCTCTCCAATTAAATTCTGTGCGGGAACTCTGTGTATTTGAACACGATTGTTAGGTACTGAATTTTCATTTTGATTATGTTTATGTACATCGTGGTCATAGAAGCTTGTCTCACCAGAAATATTACCATTAGGTATATCAAAAAGGCATTTTTTTTCAGATGGATAATTAATACATTTAAGTGAATTCACTTCTAAATTCTGCTGAGAATTCACAGCTGAATGTGACATCAAACAGGTACATTTATCACTTTGTAAATGCTCTGCATAGGGTAAGAAAAGCAAATTCTCAAGTGCAGAACTCTTAGCAAATTCATATTCCAAGTCTGAGAGTCCATTAAGAGGCGGAGGAGAATGAGATAAAAAACTCTCTACATTAGCTAGTACCTCTTTTGTCAGTGAGTGACAATTAGAAAATTGATCATCTGTTCTAACAATATACAGCTCTTCTTCAAATGGAAGAAATAAGTTAGATGAAACAGATTTTTCATCACTGAAACTGTTATAACCAGAATCTAAAACATTTCCAGCAAATGAATTAGATTTATTTGTAAACTGACACTCTGTTAATAATATATATGGCTCTTTAATAAGGTTTTCAATAATAGTACATGTGGTAGCAACTTCATCTGTATCTGATGTCCTTTTATCATTTGGTAGGTCTAGTTGAAAAATATTTTCAACAGTAGAATTTCTGTCAGTATCTAAAGAATCTATAATACTATGATTATTTTCTTTTTTAAGCTGATCTTCTTTTATTTCTTTAGACATCTTTTTCTTTAAAGAAACAATTTTAGTAGGTTTGATGTGAGTTTGTTTCAAAATTTCAGCATATTCTTCATCAGATTCTATCACTGAGGATGAACTGTCTTGATGTATGTTCCTTATAAATGACGATTTCTTGTGAGTGATAAAGGTGTCATTGGCAAGATTATTAGATTCATTCCTGGGAGCAGCAAATGTTGAGTTGACATCTTCCATTTGTAAATAAGATTCAATTTCCAATTCATAGCTGCATTCTCCCTATAAATAAAGAAAATTTTAAAAGCCACAGGAAAACAAGATAGCCAAATCTGAGAGGAGTTTCACTGTATATTAAAATTTCCCTTATTACATTATTCCAATGATATTCTTTTATACCTTAACAGTTATTCTGATAAATCAAAATTATAAAGTACATTATTGCAAAACTATCAAGTTATCATTAATCAGTTAACTTTGTCATATCTCCAGTACTTAATACCCAAAAGACCCTTGATAACTATTTGTAGGAAGGAAAAATTTAATGAATATGTAAGAATATAAATACTGAGTTTTACACTGCTAACCCTTTACAGAATTATTCTAATTTCCTAAAAATAGATATTTTTAAATCATGTATATTAATAAAAAACACATACATTTGTTAAATTTACTCTTTCAATGGCAGTAAACTAAGAATAGCTTTTAGAACATCCAACATAATAGTAACTGTATGTGTACTAGGTTGTATTCTGGAATATACTTCTATTTTTAACAAGTTCCTAATCAAGATTTTGTATAGTGAATTTCTAAGTCTTACTTATCTCTAAGTTATTAGCTAAAACTAAAATCTCCAGCATTCCTCATTTCCCCCAAGAATGCTACTTTAATCAGGATTCCTCTACTACTCTTAGACTTTTGAGCAGTTACCTCTCTGCTTTTTTCCTTTTTTTTGAGAGCAGTCTCACTCTGTCATCCAGGCTAAAGGACAGTGACTTGATCTCGGCTCACTGCAACCTCTGCTTCCTGGGTTCAAGTGATTCTTCTGCTTCAGCCTTCTGAGTAGCTGGGATTACAGGCATGTGCCACCACACCTGGCTAATTTTTGTATTTTTCATAGAGGGGGGTTTTCGCCATGTTGGCCAGGCTGGTATCGAACTCCTGACCTCAAGTGATCCGCCTGCCTCAGCCTCCTACAGGGCTGGGATTACAGGCATGAGCCACTGCACCTGGCCTTCTCTGCTTTTATGAATAATAAATATAATAAGAATTAATGTGAGCCAATGTGTCTCCCTGCTAGTTTATGTACTCCTCTTAAACAGAATATTTTCTCTGGTTTGCTCACAGTGTTAGCCATAAAGCAGGGAACAGAGTGTGGCATATAGAAGGCACTCAATAAGTATGTGTTAATTCGATTGCACACATTTTGCTGGGATCCACATCTAACTATTTATGTTGGGGAAAGCAGCAGAGGACAAAGGACTTACAGACTGCCTACATAAACTGGTTATGAGTAACATATAAACTGGGAACAATAAACTGTAGCAAACTGTGGGAGGCCTCTGCGGAAGCAAACTTCTCCATGCCTCATATCCTGGTGCAGGGTAACCTAAGCTATGTTACCATAAACACTGTGTTCAAGGAGGTAAAACCCCTTTGTAGCACTATGACGTAGCACTATGACGTAACCAGACTTGTAGGCTCCTTGTAAGGCCTGCATTCCAGCAGCTGAACATAGATAATAGGCTAAAGATAACCACATGTTCCTGTTTTGTGAAACTCCCAAACTGCCACTGTCATCAATCTTTAGAATAACACACCAGTTAAGGCTCACTGATTGATTTCCAGCTCACTGATTCACTCCACCATCAGGTCACCCTCTCCCCACCATCACTCCACCCCTGCAGATCCAAGTGACTGTAACCAACAAAATAGTGTGAGAGATCAGAGCTAGGGGCCTTCACTGCCTCCATGACAAGTGATGGCCCCCTGGTCCCACTTTGTGCATTCTTAATCTTTTTCTCATTCCTTGGTCGCCACTGAACTCGGGGTACCCACGGGTGATGTGGCGGGGCTGGTTCCCTGCAATTTACATGTATGCATGACCAAAGGCTAATAATAAAAATAGGAGCTACAATTTACTGAGTACTTATTATACGCCAGTTACTAAGTGCGTGATATGTATTAGGTCATCTAATCCTCACAACAATCTTATGAAATAAGTATTATCACTATACCTGTTTAACAGATAAAACTGAAGCACCGAGAGGCTAAATAACTTACAAGCACACAATCAGTAGGAGACAGAGTTTGGATTCTAACCCAGGCATTATGGATTTCACACTCATAATTGGTTCACTATGCTGACTCTGGGAAGAATAATCAAGGAACTGCTCAAGGAATCTACAATTCTCTAAACTAGGACCAACCAGGATACAAGAAAAATATCAAATAACCCAGATGACACAGAATATTTCAATAAATCCCAATCCAAAAGAATCCTAAATTAGCTTTATAAGCAGTTTACATAAATAATTAAGTATATTAAATTCTATTCTGGCCTAACAATATTTACAGATGATATTCTTCTTCTAATTAATTAAATCAGTTTCTTCTCTTAAGGCAGAAACTCATTCCTTATTGAGGTCACAAGGAATTATACAGAAAAACAAAATATTTCTTATTACTTCAAATTAAGAAAAATAAAATCTCACTACTCTACTTTTACTATCACACCAGAAAGAGAAAATTAAAATAAAACCCTACCTCTTCATGTCTCATTCCTTCTATCATTTGCACAAGGCCTATAAAATGGCGGCATCGATCTGAGTGATCAACTTGATATGTAGGCAAAGGATGATCTTGCCACACTCTCCATTCAGAGAGAGAGAGTTGATGAATTCCAGGGGTTGGTTCCTGAGTCTTAATTATTTAAAAAGTAATAAAAATGATGAAAACATACTGAAATTTCACGAACAAATTTTTAAAAAACACTCAATATATATGTAATCAGCTTAACATAATTTGGATCCATTTAGGTACTCCCAACTAAAATCTGAGAAAAAAAAATGAAAATAATTTCATGAAGCAGAAAGATGCCCTTTAAAATGTATTTGTTAAATAACTGTTAGATGACTGACAAGTTGACAATATTCCTGTTTACATATTTCCATGTTAAGAGCAAAGAGTTAAATATTCTAAAAGAAATCTTTCCTGAGGTTGTTTTCCTAGCTCTCCAGGCACATATGCAACCTTTGATCAGTTCTCTTGACTTTCATAAAATTAACCAACAATTTGTTAAATGAACAATAACATCAAATTTAAAGTATTACCTATAACTTCAAAACAAAAAGTAAAAACTGGTTTACAAGGATGCTTATGAAAGCAGAATTTATGTTTACAGCCAAATGATCTTCAACAAAGCAAACAAAAACATAAAGTGGGGGAAGGACACGGTATTCAACAAATGCTGCTGATAATTGGCAAGCAACAAGCAGAAGAATAAAAGTGGATCCTTATCTCTCACCTTATACAAAAATCAGCTCAAGATGGATCAAAGCCATAAATCTAAGTCCTGAAACCAAAAAAATTCTGTAAAATATTCAAAAAACTTTTCCAGACATTGGCTTAGGCAAAGAGTTCATGACAAAGAACCCAAAAACAAATGCAACAACAAAAAAAAGATAGATGGGACTTAATTAAACTAAATGCTTTTATACAGCAGAGTAAACAACGAACCAACCCATAGAGTGGGAGAAAATCTTTGTAAACTATGCATCCAGCAAAGGACTAACATTGAGAATCTATAAGGAACTCAAATGGCCAACAAACATATAAAAAATGTTCAATATCACTAATTACCAGGGAAATACAAATCAAAACCACAATACAATACCACTTTACTCCTGCAAGAATGGCCACAATTAAAAAATAAAAAAATAATAGATAGTGGTATGGATGTGGTGAAAAGAACACTTTTGCACTGCTGGTGGGAATGTAAAGTAGTATGACCACTACGGAAAACGATATGGAGATTCCTTAAAGAACTAAAAGCAGAATTACCATCTGATCCAGCAATTCCACTACTGGGTATTTATACAGAGGAAAAGAAGTCATTATATTAAAAAGATATTCACACATGCATATTTATAGCAGCACAATTCACAACTGCAAAAATATGAAACCAGCCTAAACGCCATCTACCAATGAGTAGATTAAAAAAAATGTGGTGTAGGGCCGGGCGCGGTGGCTCAAGCCTGTAATCCCAGCACTTTGGGAGGCTGAGGCGGGTGGATCACGAGGTCAAGAGATCGAGACCATCCTGGTCAACATGGTGAAACCCCGTCTCTACTA